GAATAAAGTGATTTTGATGAAATATGATTTTAAGCTGAGATTTAGGTTTCTTGACAGAAGCACGCGACACAAATAATTAGTTTAAGGACCGTCAGGAAGCTGAAACTCTGTTCTATCTATAAATAACTTTGCAGACTGTTTTGAAGGCAACACGCCATTTAAAATCTGCTGGCAGGTTGTGGGGTTCACAGGGTTTAAATGGATTAGATATAAATCTTGTTGCTTTCTTTTAAATATGCAGATCTATTAGAGGCTCTCTTTCCAGGCATCCTGACTCCACTTGTTGAAGCTCAAACACAACGACTGTAAAATGACTCTATGCTACATGATGGTAAGTCGGAATATTGGAGTGATTCAGCAACACGATCAAACCGGAAACTGATTTGACTTCAAACTCAGTGACATAAGAAACCCTGTAAGTCTGAATTTGTTGCAGTTGGCATCTTTATGCTGCAGTTTCAATGTGGAGATGAAGTCTTCCAGCATATAAAAACCATGTGAACATGTCAAAAGTAAAAAATAAACTTGATTTTCACCAGAGGACATCTTTAAATATGACTACAGACATAATTTAACCAAAACAAAAGCTCACAGTCAGACTTCTCCACCGAGAGCTGTCGGCATTTAATGTGTCCAACTAAACCCAGAGCAAGAACTCATGATTATTCAACGCATCTGGAAATTACCGACCGGCAGCCACCTGAGCCTGTGTTTTGTGACTCATAATGGTCTCGGCATCCTGCTTTTTGGAATCACGGAGGTCAAATTTCCCCTTTTCTTTCTTTAAAAACTCACAAAAATCACCCCCTCTGGCTGTGTGCATTAAAATTCATGCCGGAGCTTAAGCGACGACCTGAAGGCCTCTGTCTGAGCCTGTGTATTGGCAAGTGAAGGCGCTGCTGAGGTGCCCTTGAGCAAGCCACTGGATCCCTCACCAATAGCTGCTGCTGCTCTAACTCGGTGCAGTCACGCTTCCCCGTGGCGCGATGGGACGACTGTGTGACCTTGCTCCTCCAATTTGCAGCAGGGTGCGGCCTGCAGAACTTGTGGCGAGGCTAAGATCCGGGGTGAGGGGAACTTTGGACACCTCCCGGTCCAGGAGAGTCTGCTGGCCCTGATAACAGGAGCCGGGCAGGCAGTGGCTCCTTGAAAGCAGAGGAAAAGTTAGGCACACTCCCACAGTGGTGAGTAATTACTGTGGCTGCCGAGTGTGAACCGAGATAGGGGATTCCTCTACTGCATAACTAGGTGGACGGAAGATGGATGGCTGTGTTTTCTTTTTTGTGCTCTAACTCGATCTGCGGCGCTCATGAATGTGCACGATTGGTAACGCAGGCACTCGCTCTCTCGTTCTCCATTTGGCACAGACATCCACTGCGAATATGATATCTGGGTATCTGGCCACGGCAGATAGGAGGCTGATTTTTTTTTTTTAGTCTGGAGGCTTTGGGAGGGCCTAATCAATAGCTTTAATCAATTAAGAATGCCGCAACTGAGAAGCTGCAGAAACGAGCCAAGTCTCACACTGAAAGGACCTCGTTCCATTTATCACAGCACTCCTGTATTGATCCCCCCGCAAAAAAAAAAAAAAGGTACGGAAAGAGGTATCTGATGGATTAATTTGAGCGAGGGGGGCACCGTGAAGATCCTTGCGGGGATCAGTGATTTTCGACGCCCCTTATCTTTCAGCTTGTTGTTGTTTTCGCGGCAGGGCGCTTCAGGTATGGATATGTTTTCCTATGGCAGCGGCGAGAGAGAGTGAAGAACAGAAGGTAAGAGAGGTGAGCACTGCAGATTTTGAGCTGTCGCACTCCAAGAACCCAGTCTGCACCGAGCACAAGCACGTCTGTCATACTGATGAGTGCTGCAGTACCACACTGACCTCAAATGGTCAGACGCGGTACTGATGCTACCGGGCCCGGCAGGAGGGGGATGTGGACCTGGAGTCTTTAATATTAATAACTACTGAGGAATGCTGCTGCTGCTGCTTAATAGAATAAATCAAGCCGTGAAGTTCAGCCAGTAGAACACTAGGAAAGTTTATGATTCTCCCAAGTCATAGTAAAAACCCATTTACAAGCTCACCATTCAGCACTTTGTCTAATTGACTTCCTCACAGCAGGGAACTTCTCCGTCTCTGACCTACAAGTCAAAACCCACACATTAGCACTACCGCCGGGGCATGAACTAGCGGTGTATCATTACTCCATGCCATTATGGTTTTTTTGGTGCTCTGGTGACGTAGCCCATGCTGGGGTAATCCTTAACTAAAGGTCAGGCCTGCTTTGCTCCCTTCCCGTGGGCCCGGCTAGCATTTAAATGCGGTATAAAGCGGCGATGCTGTGCAAATGTCTTGGCACAGTAAACACCATTACAACACACAGGTACAGGTTTGGAGCTAAATCATACTTTAATCCACGCCTGGGCAACTGGTTTGAAAAGCTCGATGCGAACACAGATAATCCATTCTCATCATGTTCCCTAATGAAAACAGCCTTAATTTGCGACGTGGCCTTTACTCCGTGGCAGATAAATAGCTGCAGGATGCCGGACCTCTGCAGAGCGAGGATTTATTTTTATTGTTGTCCATGGGAGCTCTAGCCAACCGCGGTGTACATGCGTGTCTGTTTGAGGGCAGATAGTGGTTGATTCAAAGTCTCAGCCTGTCAAATCTTTCAGTGAGGAGGTCAGCAGGAGGATGGAGGAGGACTGGCTGCCTGCCCGGACCTTTGGGAGCCAGGTGGGAGCAAGAAATTTATGGACTGAGTCATGCTAGAAGACACACAACTGGATATTCTCATCTCGGCTTTACGCCCTATCAGGTCTCCAGATGCTTAATCCGGAGCCAAACTATAAAATATGTATTTTTTTTTTTCCCTGTGTTTTAACGTTGGGACGGATTAACGGGCTAAGCTCAGACGTAACTGGAGGCGGAGACGTCATGCAGCACCTTGGGCTGCTCCCATCCCATTGTTGCTTCACTATAAAAATAAAAAGCGCTGAAACGGCATCAGCAGACGCCATGATGGAGGCGATTGTTTAAATAAATCCTCTCGCTCGTGTTTTCTGACACTAGCCGAGCCGTAAATGAGCACGGAGAGGAGTCGGTGCTGAGTAAGCACTTCCTCCAGCTGTGGCAGCCGGGTCCCTGGCAGCGCAGGGTGGAGGAGGGGAGTAACGTTAGCCCACATCTTCTGCTACCTCCTCCACGACTCCCTCATTTGTATACGTCCTTTTTTTCCCCCCCTCCCCTCTTTTGTTCAGTAGATCACCAGATGGCTTTTCGTTATGGACGTTCCAATATGAAGAATCCGCAATTATGTGACTGCTTGAGTCGGGGGGCTGTTTGGTAATAATCTACACCTTTATTGCGAGGTGTGAAATATGGTAGTGTTTTGACAGTGTGGAACTGACCTTTATCCGAGTTTTTCTCTGAATGTTGAATATATTTTTTCTACTCAGACCTGAACTCATTAGAAAAGTTGGTGTCTACAGCCTTCATGAGCGTTTTGTGAGTGTGTGAAACACATTTCAATACATAAAGTTGTAAATTAAAAATGTATACACGCCATAATCGAGATGTCCGGTCACACTATTTACCTCAGGTTCAAGCTTGAGTGTTGCGTGTGGAATAATACGTCTGATCAGCCTAAAATTAAAATTCATGACAATAACAGGGGTAAAAAAAAAAAAAAAAAATCTGATGCACCTTCAACTTTTATTCAACATCACAACTCCTGTAGTAGACATTTGGTCTGAGAGAACAGCAGACTATGGATTTCTAGTAGTATGTCTCAACAGAAAACCACTACAAGTATGAAATGAACAAGAGAGACAGGAAGGTTAAAACATGGCTACAGGCCTGCATGCACAGAATGACGGAGTACATGTAGTTCTCCTCTAGGTGAGTGCTGTACAAACTGCGCAGCTACCATTCAAACGGTAGGTCAGTCAATTCCTGTGCGTTCTTTTCAGAGAGCGCTCTGAAACAAGAGTTGCACCGCACAGTCTGGTGTACATCACACAGTAGTGTTGGATAGCATCGTGAACGACAAAATCCATTCAAAAAAAAGGCACAATCCCATCCTCAACAGTCACCCAGCAAAAGCTTAGGGAAACATACAGGCTGAAGTCATCAGAAGCTAAAAACTACAAGTCCCACGGTTGCATCCAACAAAGTGCTCTGTGGATGGATGGTATAGCAGCAACTTGAGTTACGAGAACATCAAATCGACTGAAGTGACAGCACACAGTGTGTACGAGTCTGTAAAGCAGTCTTATTTTCCACTGGTCCTGGGTCAGAAAACAGTCCTAAAGCATGTGTTTTTAAACAGACAAAGCATGTTTATTTCAAACTAAAACAATATGCACCCGACATAAGAACATCCCTCTGCTCATTTCCTTTTTTTTCTTCCCCCTGGCGCGTAATTTTCTGTTTGCGTTCACTGAATAATTAGAAACAAATGACAGACATTTATTTTGGGGATACAACATTTCCATGTATTCAATTTTAAAATCTTCTCTTTTTTTTTTTTCCCAATTGAAAGCAGCTGGTAAAAGCACTGGTCTCACTGTATGTAGGCAGAGAGCAGTGCAGGACACCATAAAAGCATTCGTTGAAAACTTTGCAGCAGCATTTTAAAAGAAGAGGAGACAGAAATTGGGTCAGCAGCTGCCGTTTTCAAGTATCACATGTATCGCATTCAATCCGTTGTGGAACAGCCAGGATTTCTTGCTCCCTTCCATAGGAAGGTCAAAGCTAATTTTCTCCATATACAATTGAAACAGTTTGGCAGGCAATTCAATAAAATTTCCCAAGCTTATATTAATTAAAATGGGAGGTGTGGCATTACAACTTAAAAAAGGTAAAAGGAAATAAAATACAAAGAAAAGTTCTATTCATGAACCCGCTAACGAGCCTTCTATTTAAGTACACTGGTATTTGTGAGAGATAAAATCATTTGTTATTGGTTATCAGACAATAACTGGTGTGAGTCAGTATTCGTCATGTCCCGTGTTGTGGTGGTAGTTTGCTGACATGAGTACAGAGAAGAAGAGACAACTTTACAAAATGATCTTTTACCTACTGAGTGATGATTATGTCCCCTCAGTGTCTGTGACAGTGTCTACCACTGGCTGACTCGCAGCTTCCTCCATGGGCTCACTCTGTTCATTGTCTACGTCCTCAGGAGAGGCAACTTGCTCCTGCTGCGGCTCCTTTTCACTTTCAGGGAGCAAAGAATCATCGGATGGGTCTGGAGTGGGCTCGGGAGAGGGCTCAGGAGAGGCCTCTGGTGTGGGCTCAGCCACAGTGATACTGTCCATCCCAGGTCCATTGACCCACTGTGGCTGGGGTGAGGAGGCTCTCTCTTGTGACTCCTCCTCCTCTTCCTCCTCCTCCTCCTCATCCTCCTCCTCCTCCTCATCATCCTTCTGTGGGCTTTCCTGCTCCTCCAGGGATTGAGTCGTATCTTCAGGGGGGCTGGCAGCTCGTGTGAAGGCCACAGGTGAGTCCTGGGATGAGGCCTCAGCCAGCGGTGAGGCATGGCTTGGGGTCTCAGTGTCTGGTGAAGCAGTGGTCTTGGAGGGGGACTGAGCTGCGTGCTGGGAAGGTGATTCGGTGTGTGGAGGGGTCTCTGGCTGCGGTGATGACTCGGATTGAGTGGGAGCTTCAGTCGGTGGGGTCTGACTCTTGTTGTCAGATGATGTGGAGGGTGAGTGGGCTGAGGGTGGTGACTGTGTCAGGGGAGTGTCAGATGGAACGGGGGTTTCTGATTGGGGCTCGGGCACAGCTGCCAGGTTCTGTGATGGAGGAGGAGACTTAATCTGAACGTGAGGCAGTGGCTGACCCAGGAGAGAGGGCTTGGGCTGAGCTTGAGGCAAAAGCGGGGACTGGAATCGTGACTGAATTTGAGGGTTTAATTTAAGAGGGGCAAGTAGTTTGCCTTGGTTCAGTGTCAGGTTGGGATTAAGAGGTGGAGTTGGAAGAAGAGGTGTGGGTAGGGGGAGGAGTGGTGTCCAGCCTCCACGTTCACGTTCCCGCTCACGGTCTCTCTCTTTGTCGTGGTCTCTGTCGCGTTCATGCTCTCTGGTGCGGTCTCGGCCTCGCTCCCTGTCTCTCTCGCGCTCCCTCTCCCGTTCTCTCTCGCGGCTGTGGCGGTTACCGTTCATCTCCCTCCTGAAGTCAAAATCTCTTTCATCCCTGTCTCTTTGCCTGTCCCATGGGCGTCTTCGGTCATCTAGGTCTTGATGCAGCTCACTGTCAAAAGGAGCTGTGGCACCACCACTACGGTTCCAGGCCTGTGGACCCCCGACAGTTCCAGCATTTACAGAAACACTGGCTGCTCCCCCTGCTGTCCCAGGACGGCTGTCAAAGCGGTTGGGGAAGTTCTGCCCAGATGTGGGGCGCTCCTCCTGGAAGCCTTTCGGACCACCTGGGGCCTGTGGGCCTCCTCGCATGCTATCTCGTTCATCAAAGTCCCCTCTGCCCTGGTTCCAGCGGTTATCGGGAGTGAAGCCTGCAAGAGCCTGGAGACGTCCTACTAAGCTGGATCTGGCTGGCTGAGTGCCTGGGGTCTGGAGCAAGGGAGGCCTGCCTCCTCCTCCGGCTCCAAGGGGTTCCCTATGCTCTGGTGGAGGGGTCCGCAGCAGGCCTGTGCTCTGCTTTTCCATTGGAGGAAAACGGTAGTCCTGGTCTTTGCCCTCATCAGCGCCAGAGGAAGACTCTTCTTCTGTTTTGGATAGATTTTCATTGGTAAGGTTGGGCACCCTGTTGAAGGGGTCTAGCTGAGGGAAGGGACCCCTGGCACGGGCCTGAGCCTGGAGGGTGCTGTCAAGGAGGCCGGCGGCTTGCTGGGCGGGGCCCTGCTGCATGAGCAGTGGGAAGCGGGCGGCAGCACCGGGTTGGAGGAGGTTGGGTCGCACATCCAGGGGCAGCAGGCCAGGCATTCTCTGCCCACTCAGACCAGACTGATGCAGCGGGTGGGTGAGGGAAGCTGTCGGGTGCATGCCTAATAGACCCATCCCACTGCGGACTGCATTCTGCATCCCTGAGGACAAACACAATAATAGACATAAATACTAAGACTGTTTTTTTTGACTAAACACAAAAAAACTTAATCTCAAACAAGAACATTCTTCAGAGAAAATAGAATCAAAGTGTCCACCAAATGTCTTTCACGTGACAACACTTCAGTACTGTCTCACCTTGCAGTGTAAGTTCTGCAGCAGCATCCATACCCTCTGCAGATTGTGGAGGTTTCTCATTAGTGGGCTGCTGAGTTTGGACTCCAACTGGGTTGAACACACCGGCTCCAGGGATGGCTGAGGGCATATAGCTGCCAGGGATAGTGCTGGTTGGAGGAATCATTGCACTAAATGGTGATTCCTTGACAGCATCTTGGCTGGAGGGCACTGAAGGCTGCACTAGTGCTGTTGGTGAGCAAAAGAAACAACAAATTTAATCCAAAGGTATAAAAGGACACTAAGTGTTCAAACTTATAGGCAGGTATGAAGTCATAGCAGAAGCCTGTCATAAATACTCACAAGTAGTTGCTGCAGCCATGCCTGCTGTCTGTGCAGCCTGCATAAAACCTGCACAAAGAAATAATTCTGTGTAAGCTTGTGAATTTCTGTAGGTTTGATTTTTACACAACCATTAGTGGCATTTACCTGGTGGAGGCTGTGAGGTATTGAAGCCAGCCCTTATGAAGGGTGGTGGCGGCCCGAAGCCTGGTGGGGGTATTCCCATAGTGACAGGGAAGGTAGGAGGCACCAAACCGACTGCACTGGGAACTGCCTGAGCCACTGGTATCTGAATGAAAGCCATATGTTAGAGTGTAAATACAAAAAAAAATCCTAAATTGATAGTGTAATGGCTACAATTCACAGTAACACAAATTCTGGAACATGTCTCAGGGGCTGCTTATGCCTATATTCAATACTGAAGGTTTATGAATGGATGTTTAACAGATAACCGTCTGTATTGCAAAGAATGATGCACTGTAACCACTGTCATCAAAACAAAAGGAAAAAAACAATGAGTGAGGACATACAATCTGTGCCAAAATCTGCTAAAAACCATTCTGCTCCCTGAACAAACTACTTTTCAGTGAAAATGGGATAACATCACATCAGTGAGTCCATGCACTGTAATGTTTACAGTCTATCTCCAGACTGTGACTCTTCTGTACCTGCACAGGCATCATGGTAACCTGCTGGTTGTAGGTCTCGGTTTGGGTATTAGATGCCGCTGTGGTCTCGACGCTTACTGGCTGATTTGCGATTTCCTTGGCCGATTCAGAATTCTTGGCTGCCTCCCACTCTGCAGACAGACAAAAAACATGGAACGTTAACAACAATTGTCCAATTATTTGGATTTGGGAGTTTAGTTCATCTTCATTGAGTTCCCAATTTGCATTTCTGTAAGGATTTGGGGAGTAACCATTATAAAACAAACAACAGAGGGAATGGAGCAGAAAGCAAATCCACTTCGATGACGGCATGCCAAGAAGTGTTTGGATATGTGCGTTATGCTTTCATTCTGTGTGTACAAACCTGTCTGTGTGTCCTACTTATATTCAAACAAGCACTGCTACTGTACAAACAGACCTAGTGTGTGTGTGTGTGTGTGTGTCAAAGAAAGAAGTGTGTCTTTTCACCATCATTGACGGTCTCCTGGTCAATGATTCCCCCTTCGGCAAAGCCATCCAGGTCATCCACCTTGACCTTCTCCCAAGGTATGTAGGTGACACCCAGGTCCACATCCCAAAATTGCTTGTACTCCTGCTTTACGCCTTTGTTCAGAGCCCATGCGATCTGGATCAGACAGACACACAAAGGTCAAGAAATAGCATTTTTCAACACAATTTCTGGAAGTACACAAGGATGTGGTTGGAGAGCTAAACTTTCACCAGTGGAGGTCAACGGAAAATTACATTAGAGGAACCAACAACATGATGGAAAATACAATAAATTAAGTTATAAAGGTAATGAAGACCTTGATGATCTTGGAGCCAATCTTGAAAGAGCCAGTGCTGAGTTTCTGGCGGGCACGGTATGCATCCTGTCTGTGGACCATACAGATGTAGGCACAGCCTCTGGGAGGGATCATCTGCACAAAGACACACACATTACATTATACAGGACATGGGAAGGTTAAACAACAACCCAGAACCATACTGGAGAATACCAATAGACCTCCTGTGTGACTGGTGAAAAAACTGTAATCGAAAAAGAAAATCAAAGAATGTGCAGAACAGAGAAATGGAAAAAGACAGCAGTTAGCAGCTTAAGGACACTGCTAAGCTAATGACAGACTGAGGCTTCCTCATTAGGTTTCTTTTTAAGATTTTGGAGATCAAAAAACTGGCTGACATACTGCAGCTAAATTAGAGGGTTAATAAGGAGAGGTCTGCTTACATTGATAGACTCAATCTGGCCAAACTCTTCAAACAGATTGGTGAGGTCTTGCTGAGTAGCCTTCTTATCCACCTGGCCCACCCACAGAGTTGTGCTGCACACTAAATGAGGAGAAGAAAGACAGGAAAAAATTAACTCCATTCATCAGAAAAACCACAACTATTCAACTAGAAAATAAAATATTCAACAACGACTTTCACTTGCCACTTAGAGTCTTGGATCGTATGGGAGGCAGTCCTTTCTTCTGACGCTCCTTTTCTCGTTCCCGGGCCCGTCTTTCACTTGAGTACGACCGTGACGACTTCCTCTTACGATCTCTGGAGCGTGAGCGAGACCGTTTGCGGTGCTTACGTTTCCGTGAGCCTGAGCGAGACCTGGACCTTCTCCTCTTGGGAGATCTACCGAGAGGAGACCACACAAAACCTTTTGCCAATTCTGTCCAGACTGACTTTGTTTCAGGTTTAATGTAAAGCCACGTGGCTGCTCCTTTTGAGCAACAAAATAGTTTTTTACAGTCCATGAGTGCATTGAATTTAAAATACCACTGTATTGGCAAAATTATCGCATCTTTAATTGACTCCTCTGTTTTAAAATTTAAAAACGTTCTGCTTTGAGTTCACAACACACTTAAACTGAAGTTGACACAATCTGAATGTGACAGCCATAATTTCCAAATAAACATCCCTCCATTTTTTATACACTGTGGGAGGAAACCGGAGCACCGCAAGAGATACCAGGCTGAGATTTGAACACATGAGCTTCAAGCTGTAAAGCGACAGTACTAACTACCACTCCACCTGGATAAACATGTGATGATTAAAAGCCTTCTCTGGTCAGTTCATGATGCCGTATTTGTATGTATGCATTTGTTGAGCCCTTTAAGGACACATAGGCATATTTGTGAGTCCTCTGAAGTAAGAAAGCAGAAACAGTTCTACATAGCATAAGCTAGATAGAGGCACATTGTCAGAAACCTGAACTCTCTGTATGTTTTGCTTAATATCCTCTACATAAGTACATCTTGAGTCAAAAATGTTCCATAAAGTTCTTGTAAATCACATTACCTTTAGGAAAACAGTACTTCTGTATTATCCCCCTACATCCCACTCACATTTAGAAAAATTCACACAAAATGAGATGATGAAGAAGTGGGACTGACCGAGAGCGTGACCGAGAGCGTGTTCTGGACCGTGTGCTTATGGTCTTCTTCTCCTCTCCTTCAAAGATCTCCTCCTCCATTCCATCTGGGCCCTCGTCAAGATCCATATCCTAGGAAAGACACGGGTAATTTCAAGGTAATGCACTAATCTGTAGCGTTTCAGTCACACCTAGACTTACAGCTAAATAAATGCTTTGCTGTTGGTCTAAATATATGTCCCTCTGTGTTGAGACACGTGTTTGTTTTAAAAAGTAAGTACATGCAACCAAAGTATAAATGTTGGGTCGGTAGGATTATGATAACAGCACTTTGGCCACAAATACCTGCTGTTGGTTGTCTATGGAGTCATCCAACTTGTTCTCTGGCTCAGGAAGCTGTGACTGGCTGCTGCTCTGAGCACCTGCGACCGAGTTCTCTTGTCCAAAGATAGAGTCCTGTCCTTCTATGCTCATTGCCTGGAGGAAGAACAAGAGCAGTATATTTTTACACGCCTTTCATTTAAAGCATCTGAAAGACTAAACCCTGATGAGAATAAAAATCTCTGTTTCTGTAAGTTGTTTTGTGGAACTTGGCAGCCCTATAGGAAATTGTTCAAGTATGTGTTGAAACACCAGCCAGGTGCCCATATTGACAATGAAACAGGATTTTCATGTTTTTATATTTCCTACTTTTCTTCATAACCACAGTATGTTCTTATGTTGCGTAAAAATAGACTGCAAAGTTTACCTAAAAGTAATGACATATTAGCAGTCAAAGTTAGATAAATCAAGTGGCCTGTAACTTTGGGCTATACCCACATAATATGTCTAACTAAGACAGCTGAAATTTCACAAACTAAAGACCCTCAATGTTCTCATCTGTACAATCACTGAGGCCACAGTCTTTCTAAACTAATAGTACAGCCATTTGAAGTGTTTCAAACATGAATAGTGTGAGTCTAACTGTAAACACACGCATTTCTTTCTTTTCAACAATGTGAGATTGTCTCAGAAGTACAAACTAAGTAATTGTGTAACTTGAGTCGGAAACCAAACACTAACAACGAACAAGCAAAACAATAAAGAAGCAAATTGTGTTAAACCAGCAATTCATAAATCATTAGACATGTTAAGCATCTCAAACAGAAGCAGTGCTTTCTGCATGTGTATGTGTGATCTACCTTCTGCTGGTGCTCCAGCAGCTGCTTCTGAAACTGCTCCAGGTTTTGCTGTTGTAGCTGCTCAGCCAGTTGATGGAAGAGGGAGCTGTTAATGGGCTCAGACACCATGGGCCTAGAAGTGGTCAGCAGTTTGATTAGATAAAAGTACTCAGGGGATGCGGTTGACACTGATCACTATTAAGAAGGTCGGTTTGGTTGGAGAACAAAACAGTAAAGCACACTCACAGCTGAGACGACGACGTGTCTTTTTTCGATTCCTCACTGCGTTCAGAATCGTTCCCAAAGTCAAAAGGACCCAAAAGTTTCTGCAAAAAAAAGACACAGTATGATCACGTTTAAAGAATTTGGATGAAGTAAGACATAAGAAGCTGATGGCTGCTGACTGCAGCATTACCTTATTAAAAGAGGAGACCCTCTGCTCCAACGGGTTCAGGCTGTTGGCAGTGGCAGCTGCAGTGAGCTGAGCTGTCAGAGCTTGTAACTGCACCACCAGGCCGGCGTCCAAGGCCTGCAGCAGGGACGGCTGGGGCTTCTGCTGCTGCATCTGCAGACTCTGCACCAGCTGCTGAAGCTGTAACAGGTTACAACACAGAGTATTTGACACTTTTTTTTTTAACATAGCTACACAAACTGTAGAGGCGGCTCTTTAATGTCTCACTGAACATGTAGAACAATACTGGACATTGGGTGGACATGTTCACCAACCTGTTGTCCCTGGGGGCTCTGTAAGATTTGTGCCACAGCAGCCACAGTGTCTGTGTTGGTAATCTGGGAAGCCCAGTCAGGCAGACCCTGGACGATATTGGCTGGAGTGGCCGGCGTAGCTGGGGTGCCTGCATACACCAAGACAGACAGTTGTAACATGAACCACAGGCTAACCATATTCCACAGTGGTGTCAAACATGCTATCTGACCACATCAGTAGAGCGTATAGGGGTGTGTGTGTGTGTTCCCCTCTCTTGTGTATTGTCTTACTGACCAGGCGTAGTGTTATTGACCGCAGCAGCACTGCTGGGCATGACAGGAGTAACGCTGGGAGGAGGAATCCCTGCTGCCATATCCAACAGAGGCTGAATGATGTCACTCTTGAAGACCGCATTCTTTTGCCACAGATTCAAGACTCGCACTATCTTGCTCTGGAAACACAATAAAGATGATAAAAGCAACTGAGACACTGCAGTAACATGAGAGGACACTGTGCTTTAGGAGAGGGACAGGTAAAAGAAAGTGCTTGTATGGTTCATGAAAAAAGCAGGACTCAAGGCCAATAAAGTACATATTTATGTGTTTAAAATAAAAGGTATCTAATGTCTGGAATTGAGTATTTGTCCATGATGATATTGGAGCAAAACACAGAGATTGAGTGTCAATTCAGGCGCTCAAACTGTTCAAAGCATCCCTTACCGAGCCCTTTGCCAATCCCTCATCTATTCCTTACACCTTCTCCTACATCCCATATATCAAAATGTCAAGTATCAATTCCCATGAAACCCTGACTAAGCACAGAAATGAAAATTTAGTGAAACCTATTAAAAACTAACCTTATCATCTGAAGGGCAGCGGTAGAGGTTCTGGAACGTTGCGATGATGTTCTTGCTGAAGCGTGGCGCAAAAACGTCCTTCTCGGTGCCAAACTGGTGTCGTGACTGTCTGACGATTGAGTCGATGACATACAGCCCTGGGACCTTGTATTCTGGCTTGCACTGTGGAAGGAACAGACAGCTGGTGTTAAGACCAATTCATGCTTTCTGCATCTGCGCATCCAGAAGGGTGCGCATGATGAAGTCTGCGAGGGTCCTCTGCGGGTGTCCAAAAGTTGTGACTGCACAGACAGTCATGTGTGAAAGAAAATGCAGCACAAACAGGCTGAGAAACAGTTTTTAGAATGGTCCATCGGACTCAAAACAATAGATAGATAGATAGATAGATAGATAGATAGATAGATAGATAGATACTTTATTCATCTCCAAGAGAAATTTACAGTTCCAGCAGCTTCCAAGAAGGGAACACAGGGGCATGCAGTGTTCTAGTACAATAAAATAATGCACAGTGTCACTTTTAATGTGCAATCTCCTGCCCATACTTATTCTATTTTATTGGTTATTTGATCTCATTACCTTCTCTATATCTTGCCTCTTTTGCATATGTTGGAATTCTTAATATACTCTTGTTTCATATGTACATTTGATTTTATTATTATTGTTGGTAATTTAGCTTGTTCAATGCACCATCCAGAGGCAGCTACTTCTATTTTCGTCATGCCCCCATGTATGATGACAATAAAGCTATTCTAAAAACATATGGTGCTCAAAACAAAGGCTTGTTTAAAAAGGAGACTGTACGTGAAGATTCTCAGTCATCCACACCTTTATAATCCGTCATTAAAAGAGCTGCAATTAAAGTAGCTGCTGCTGGATTTTGGAGGTGCTTTGATTTGTAAATGCTTTCCATCAACAGAGCGCAAACTCAGAGGAAAGTTCTAAATTCTCCAGAAACTCTGTAATGTGTCTGTCCACTGTGCCCCACACACCTTAGGAGTAATCACTGACACGGTGCAACAGAAGAATCTGTAAGTAGCTGCTATGTCCTGTTAAAGAAATGGCCCTGTGTGTGTTTTTTTTTTTTTGTTTGGTGGGGGGGGGTGAGTGTGTGTCTTTTGTTGTACTACCAGCAGCACCTGATGTGTGTCTGCTTTCTAAGTCCACATTGCTCTGCACACATGAACATGGAAAGCATGAATCAGCCCTTATCATAAAGCAGTGAAATAATACGATTTTACCATCAAGGGCCTCCACCTATTTAAAGTGTTCCAACTTGAAGCAGCCTTTTAACAGGATAATCTTCCTGGCTGTATCTACACATCCATTAAGACTGGGGTTTAGACTTAAAGAAGAGAATTCAACCTTGAGTTATCATAGGCAGGTGCAAGTGTTCAAGTGTTCAATTTCTGCACACTCTTCACGGTTCACCTCCCTCAATTTTACTGCATTTCAATGTGTGTGCCTGACGGATTCTAATTCAAATGTAACTCACCTTCTGTATGAACTTCTCCACGCTCTGGACAACATGCTTGTAGAACTGAAAGGAAGGCAAAGGAAAAGGCATTTTGAGAGGCTTGAACAGTAGCATATAAGAGCTTACTTACATAAAAGGGAACAGTGCAGACAGATCGCTTAGTAGAGTGACATGTGAGAGAAGGGAATAGAAAATTTGCATCTTGAAATCCTTTGGTTGGAACATCTCTTTAATCTTCCCCACTCTTTAGCACGACAACCACCAGCTGTTACTGATAGTGAAGACTGAGGGACAAATCATAACCACAGTTTTGACTAATGGCAGATTTTCAACACAATGAAGTAAAAAACAAACAAAAAAACAGTAAGATAATTGCATCTTCCAAGCTTTTCAATGTTCTATTAGAGAGGCAAGCAATAGAAAAGTTACTAGTGCTAATAAAATAGTACATTTCTGAGTGTAACACAAAGATGGTAAGAAAGTCAGGTCAAATAATAAATGCTAAAAAACAGGATCCAGAAAGAGGTCGTCCCTCAGTCATGCTAAAACACAGGTAGCCATATTCCACTGTACTCAAACACGAGTTTTATCACAATTTCATGAAACACACACATAGACAAACATTTAAAAAACCCTTTTCATTTGCTTATGTATTAGGCCTATTACTAGAGGGTTCCACTTTGGGCTGCACTGTTGTTCAAGCGAATGTTAATCACAATTCAGGCATCCTCACAACCAAATGAACACGATTCACTGCAATATTAATGTTCAACATTTGTACTCTGCTCATAGAAAATTCTGCACGTATAAAACAGTCCATTTAGTCCATTTCCACTTTGGTTAGACTTGGATAAATCTGACATTAGAACGCCTTACTTTGCTTGTGTCGAAAGAATTTTCTGTTCACACAAAAAAGGTCTAAATTGCTGCTGCAGTAACTCAGTGGGGAGACAAGAGGTTTGTCGGTGCTCAGCCGCCTAGCGAGCATCTACCATGAGCTGTTCAGGGCAAATCAGAAAATTGTAGTTCCCATCCATAAGTAGATGTTCAGTGTGTCTTCACTTGATTTTGGGTACCATTTTATATATATTTTAGTATATTTTACTTTAGTTACACTGAATTTACTCTTGTTTTAAGTCTTGTTTTGATGCAGATTTGTCCATTAACAAGAATGTAGCACACCAGCATTTAGGCTATAATTCTACTACAGGGTGCACCACAGAACTCCGACTGTCTGAGGAGAAGAAGCAATGCCGATGTGAGAAATAGAAGATGAGAAACGCAAATATTTTCAAATGTCTGGCTGGACGATGTTACATAACAGTTTGGACAACTATCTATAACGGATCGACCAAAATACTCTGGTATTAAAGGGGTCTGCAGTGGGCAGAAATCTGGAAAGGGCAAGAAAACAAAACAAAATCCAAAACAATGACAAAAACCTAATTTACTCTCTTCTGTTTCCCCTTGCTGTCTTAAAGCCTCTTCTACCAGACAAGCACAGACATTTGACATGCTTCAAATGTCAAGCCAAAGGTCAACATAGGTTTTAAACGTGACTTGAACCCCATTCCTCTGATCGAAAGTCTTCCTTTTATCCCAGTCGGCCACCATTCTACTTCTACCAGGGACTTTGCTATGCTTTATGAAACCTCAGCTGATCTGGGTGAAAAACTGTTTTAAGTCTCCTGTCGCCTAGATGTTCTAAAGCCTGAAAATAGAACCAGGAGGTGGTGAAAAGGAGTACGCTTCTCTAATATCTTTGAATTACAATATATGCAATGACCCAAAAATATATACTGATATGCCCAATGATGCAAAAGTTACACTTGACCTATCTTTGGCTGGGCAGCTGAAGCCTATCAAAGCTGTGCCAGTGTCAGGAAATGCAAATTCCTTCTATGTATGTTGAACAGGTGTTCAATGTAGCTACAGGTACAACACTGACAATAACAGTCAGTCATATTTAGTAGGTAATCTCCATAACTCGATGGTTATCCGGCAGCAGAACCACTCTGTCAGCCTGAGACACTATCTGACAAATCTGATGCTTGCAGCAGCACCACACTGACTGCTATGCCCGACGACAGCTGTCTGTCTGTTCACTCTGCTGATAAGATTTTACATTTCGAAATGTATCCAACATCCAACTCTGATGACTAAGCACGGAAAAGAAAAAAATTACATAAAGCTGTCAGCAGTCACTCTGTGTCACGTCCATCACTGAGCAAAGCAAAGACAGCGAGGTAAGATCGAGGAGTTTGGACAGACTAAAACTTTCTTTCCAGTTTAACAGATATTCTGGTGAGGCTGAAATTCATGACACAAGGAAAGTCTCTGCTGAAACTTTTGCTAATAACACAACTGAGAAGATCCTGGTGTGTAAAGTCGACATCTTTTAATTACAAACTCAAGTTCTCTCCATCAGCCAGTAGATGGAGTCAAACACAGGAGATGAACTGGTCACTGTTAAGGTTTCTTATCACAGTGACTGTAGAGCAGTGGTCTCCAACCTTTTTTGCACCACGGACCGGTTTCAAGCAAAACTATTTTCTACGGACCGCTCATTGCGCACATAACAAATAATAATTGCTTTTTCTATTAAAAAAAGCATCAAACGAATCAAATTACTTTTTATTGCTAAATAAGTATTTACTATTTCAGCAGCTCATCCTCTTTTCAAAGAAGCTCTCCAGAAATGTTTTATTTTTTTTAAATTCATTTTGGCAGCGGTTAGATTAGATTTTAACAGCCGGGCATGAAAACTGACCGAGACAAGTGCGTGAAACAAGCACAGCCGGAAGTTACGGGAAGACGAGCTTGTCATTTTTCAATATAAAACACCCTGCAGACTCCGCCGGAAATAAAATAAACAAATAAAACATTTTTATTCTTTCTGTGTGGCCCGGTACCAAAGGACTCGTGGCCCGGTGGTTGAAGACCACTGCTGTAGAGTTTTATAGTACTTTGGATTCAATAAACTTAAGTGAGGTGTTACTGTCAAAATCAATTTAATTAATACATATCACTATATAATTCGATCTAATCCAACTTTCAGATTGTTAGCATCTTTGCTAGATGTGAGTAGATTTTACACAAGTAACACATGTACCATTTTGCTAGCCTTTTCAAAGATTTTTGTCACGACTTAAATGAAACTTTAGACCCTATTTATTTTTATTTATTGACATATTGACTGTAAGTTTTATCAAGCTATGCCACAATGATGGTTATTGTATTGTTTTTCTAGAAGCTATTTTTATAAGCAACATACAGCCAGCTTTTTATTATTATTATTATTATTATTGTTATTATACTATTTTTTTCCACAATCAAACACACACACACACACACACACACAGCAGACAAAGTACCTACTACCATTAAACACATCAGCAAGACAGGGTATTCATATAGATAACTCCTGTGTGCAGTCCAAAACTACTATCATTCAAAACAGAAAACCGCTCTTTCTACCCAGAGGGTAAAAGGCAGAAAACAAAACAAAAAACAGAGTGGTGGACTGCCAGAATATCAGTCAGTAGGCAGGACAAGGTAGAGTTTCTACAATAAAAGATACAGCATAGCAGTAAGGCTCATAAATTATACTTATATATTTAGGTCCCTTCAAGCAATGCTAAAAATGTCTTTGACACGCTCTGGAAATAATTTGGTAAAGGCCTTTTGCTACAACAAATCTGTTCCATCTTGGCAAGGGAAAGCATCTTGTTGAGTCGCTTCCTGACACATGGAGATGATGAAGACTTCCAGTTTAGTTAAATTAATATTAATTCAATAGCCTAATGATGCCAGATTTTGACAGGAGAGAAAGGTCTTTGAACAAACTACATGAATAACTATGAATAACGATATGAATGTGTCTCATCATTAACTCTTTAGAACCGGGTAGTGTCAGAGTAAATGTGATCGTGATGTTTCAGCAGGACCACACCTATCACACATGATTCATGAAACTATTTCATGCATCATCCGAAGATCAGTTTTGGAGATTTTTGAAGATTCTAAACTAAAATAATCTACATCTAGAATAGACCGTTTGACACTGAAACAGCCAATTCTTTGGCTCAGGCCCTGATGTTAGCATCTACTGGTCCTATAAAAGCTGTTTAGAAACACAGTGGCCACCAACGCAGGTTTAAAAGATGTAAGAGTGTGTAGAAAGTCATGACAGTCCTTTTTTATGTGATTCAAAATCTTTATAAAGTTTCTGAGAATGAGGTTATGACCAAGTACTTTGCAGGAGGGCTGTGCTCCAGAAAGAAGCAGCAATGGGAGAGAGGTTTCTGACACTGACACGGATTCATTTTTTACCCAGAGAGGAGAAACAGCAGAGCAGTCATCACCAAGGAAACCTCATTTCCAAAAAGTGGCAGCCCTCACATTTACTGTCCAGTAGTAAATGTCTGAATACAACAAGGCCAAACCGTTTACAATCTTCTGTACATACGTGTTAAAGATGCAAGGGGTGTATTTGCCAAGATAAAAGAGAGGACAAGACAATCCAGCTGTCAGAGGTTTTGTAAACAGTACAAAAAGTCTACATATTGGCTTTAAATTGAATTATAAAATGTACCTATGCAAAAATTGGCTCCAATAACAAACATGTGAATCACATGTCTCGAATCGAATCAGCTCAACCTCTAGTCATCATCTGCTGGTAAAAAGGCAATTTAAATGAAGATAATTCATTTGTTTGTCTATTCATCAAGCCAACAAATATCCGTTTGGCATCTGTGGAGAAATGCAGCACATTCAGTGGGCTTTTTAATAGTTACTGTGCAATTATAAACTTGGTAGCACTGGTATTGTCTGTAGTAGTCTAATAAGGATGTGCCCTGTCTGTTCAATCAATGTAGTTCTTAAGGCCAATTTATGCTCTCTGCAATTTCTACATTTGTCCCATTTATTCCAGAGCAAATGTGTGCACAGTAAGGCATGTAGTAACTGCAAATTAACAGTATTAAATTGTTTTTGTCAAGATATGATTGGGAATAAAAGTATCAGCAGCTCCAGCCAACTCCCTTGGAAGCAGTTGCCAGTAA